GTCTAGCACTCTATCGCTAGACCACACCGTTCCACAAGTTATCTAATAGCATTGCATTGTTATATAGATTTAATGATTTTACTTAGTGAAAGATTATAGTAGCCCATCATGCGCGCGGTGGATCCCGGGGCGCTAAAGGTCAACCAATCCACTGACAGATGCACTAAGTACAGTTTTACAGCTGAATCAAGTAGTACTACATTGATTTAGTGTACTGCTTAGTGGATCGGTTTTTGTGTGTGGCTGTAGTGCCTGCCGTCACCTGGTGTGGCTGTAGTGCCTGCCGTCACCTGGTGTGGCTGTAGTGCCTGTCGTCACCTGGTGTGGCTGTAGTGCCTGCCGTCACCTGGTGTGGCTGTAGTGCCTGCCGTCACCTGGTGTGGCTGTAGTGCCTGCCGTCACCTGGTGTGGCAGTGGTGCCTGCCGTCACCTGGTGTGGCTGTAGTGCCTGCCGTCACCTGGTGTGGCTGTAGTGCCTGCCGTCACCTGGTGTGGCTGTAGTGCCTGCCGTCACCTGGTGTGGCTGTAGTGCCTGCCGTCACCTGGTGTGGCTGTAGTGCCTGCCGTCACCTGGTGTGGCTGTAGTGTCCGCCGTCACCTGGTGTGGCTATAGTGCCTGTCGTGTTTTTCTAAGCTGATAATCTAACCATAACCCTCGAGGCCTGTGATCTAACCCTAACCCTAGAATACTAGATTCTATATTTAGACTATAAAAGCCATCTTTATACGAGCGGGGAGACATCCGCTCGATCCCATTATGGAAAACCACCAAAATGGTGATTTATTTGATTTCTATCTTAAGCAAGTATTGCTGCTGGCTTGAATTTGTGACAGATAAATCGCTTCATCAGATTCAAGTAAGAGAGTCCGAATAAATGGCTGGAGGATGACTAAGCTTACAGTACAACTATTTGAAGGGGGGGGGGGGAGGGGAGGATTGGGAGCGGTGCGACAAAAATATTATATGTAATAAATTTACGTCTAGTTTTTATTGAATATATATTGATAATGAAAACGAACAATTAGATGTAGTTGGATTTCTAAAATCGCATTAATTTGAATATTCTGAAATTAATTGTAAGGAATATATCGTTCTAGTGCTATTTTTTTTTTATTTCGCTCATTTAGATCTTGATCTAGTTGTTTTCAATATCATCCTACTATTAACTATATGAAAGCATATGTGTGTACTTCTCTTCTCTATCAGATTCTTCTACAATATATGTAGAACTTAAACATATTATACCATTTTGTTGAGACAATATGCTGCTTATACTTGTTTATTAAAAGATTTTAATTAAAAAAAAAACCAGGATAAAGCGATAAACTGCTAACCCGAAAGTCTTGGGTTCGAAACCTGGTTCAAGTCAGTAGGAGGTCACTAAGTCCACCCAGCTCCAATGGGTACTGAACTCACGTGTTTAACACACTATCCCTTCATGTTCCGAGGGCACTGTAACAGATACCTCTGCCCATATGTAGGCTATATTGGCACGTTCTAGAAAACATGATTAATTTGAAAAAAAAAAACAATATATTCGAATTAAAAAACACAATTATGCAACCGGAGAAGTAATGCACATGTTTAACGTTACAGAAAATAGTTGTCTTCAAAGAAAACATGGATTCCAATTTACTGCTTCTAACCCTAATCTAAACCCTAACCCTATCACCAAACATAAACAAACAAAACAAACAAACATAAACATACACATACACGTACGTGTTTGTGTTTTTTGTGTTTGTGTTTACGTTTATGTTTGCGTAACGTTTACGTTCGCGTTTGTGTACCTACCTATCTACCTACCTACCTACCTGCCTCCCTCCCTACCTGCCTCCCTCCCTCCCTACCTACCTATCTACCTATCTATCTATCTATCTATCTATCTACCTACTTACCTACCTACCTACCTACCTACCTACCTACCTACCTATCTATCTATCTATCTATCTATCTATCTATCTATCTATCTATCTATCTATCTATCTATCTATCTATCTATCTATCTATCTATCTATATATATATATATATATATATATATATATATATATATATATATATATATATATATATATATATATAAAGCGATGTATTTGTGTGTGTCTGTCTTTTATGTGTTACTACACCTTTCATCCGATCGTCATGAAACTTTGGGAAGTTGTTGAGAATTATCCTGGGGAGTTTTCTGCGAAAAAAAATCAAATTCGCAGGGGTGGCGCCCGGTAAGGGCGCGATTTGTTTTTTCTTCATATACTGTATATAAAAATAAAAGTAGATTGCGGTTTCACAGCGTTCATCCGATCGCCATCAAACTTTGAGGAGTTGATTAGAACACTCCAGTGAAGGGTTCTGCAGCGCCTCGGCAGGGTACAATTTTTCTCTACATTTAGTATATAAAATTAATAAATGTGAATTGCAGTGACACTGTGGACACGATCGCCATCAAACTTTGGGAAGAGGTTGAGAATACTCCTGGGGAGGTTTCTACCAAATTTTTTTAATTTCAAATTCGAAGGGGTGGCGCCCCAACAGGGCGTGATTTGTTTTTTCTCTATATTTAAAAAAATTAATTGCGGTTTCACACCGTTCATCAAATCGCCATCAAACTTTGGGGAGTTGATTAGAACACTGCAGGGAAGGGTTCAGCAAAAAAAAAAATAATATGTTTTTAATTTTGCAAGGGCGGCGCCATGGAGGGTGCGATTTTTCTCTATGTACGGTATATAACAAAAAAAAGTCGAATGCGGCCTGACACCGTTCATCTGATCGCCATGAAACTTTGGGGAGTTGCTTAGAACACTCAAGGGGAGGTTTATGTAAAACAATATTTTTTAATTTCACAAGGGTGGCGCCCCGGGAGGGTGCGATTCTTCTCTGTATACGGTATATTAAAAATGAAAATCAGACGCGGTTCGAGACCTTTCATCTGAGTACTATAAAACTTTAAGGAGATCATCAGAATACTCACGAGAAATTTCTGTTCACAAAATAACTAAAATTTGATTTGAGCGGCGCCGGGGAGGGTGCGATTTTCATCAATAAAAAATTTGTTGCCCAGAGTTCCAGAGCGGCTATGTTAGCCTTTGGCATCCGTTAATCGTGCGTCCTGCATAGCTGGTAAGGGGTACTACTATATTCAGCGTTAAAACTTCAACAGGCGCAACTGCCGGCGCCCCGTAGATTGCACGACCCGAAGAGACCCGTGTTCCCCTGCTAGCACTATGACGCCTCTGCAGTAGTGTAATCGTGGCTCCCGAGAGCGACCCTCTTCGTCCCTGATAAATGGGCGGTCACCGAAGTGTATTCTACCACACTATTTCGGTGAGTGATTAACGTACACACAAAGTTTTCATGCATTGCGATAGTGTAGGTAAACCCGTGTCCACATATTTATGATCCAAGCGCAGGCATTGTTTACAAGGACACGCGTCTAAGAACATAGGATTAGTAACGCATTCATGAAACCCTTCTTATATATTTCGTCAGACTTTCTTCTATTACCGCGGCAACGCGCGTGGACGGGTACGCAAGTCATGTATAATTTGTATCACGCTGGTTTCTATTATGTTATTGGCCTGTAACTGCAAATATTTTATCATAAAAAAATATTAGATTATTATGTTTCGGTTATAGCTTTCGCTATACAGTTATTTGTTATTCCTACTAGGTTCCAGCAATGTTAAACATCTTCAACATTGAAAGGTCTTTATTTGAGAATATCAAGAAATTAGCTTGGTGGAAGACAAAGGGAATATTTTTTGTTTATACAAAAAAAATAATAATAATAATAAATAAATGAATTAAAACAAGGTTTTATTTTTAATTATTTAATGCGCAGTATCAGCTTGGGTATTCGGTACGGTTTTTTTGTTTTGTTTTTATATTGGTATTTCATCTGAGATCGAAGCAACTCGCGACAGGTATGCTAGTGGAATAGAAATGTCCCTTCTACTTCAATCGATTATTTTTTACCAGCGGGATTGACGTCAACTAATTTAAATAAAGCTTCAATTAAATTGGGAGAACGTTAAGACAGGCCTGACGAATATTGCATTTAACAGGGGAGAATAGATTTACCTCCTCCCCTAACCATGAAGGGCGGAAGTACCCCCCTACTCCTAAAATATGAAGGGATGAAGACCCCTCCCCAACCACGAAGGATGACATCCTCGCCCCATCCACGAATGGAGGAAGACCCCTTCCCAACCTTGAAGGGCAGAAGGCCCACCCAACCATAAAGGAATAAAGACCCCCCCCCCCCCCTAACTTTGAAGGAAGACCTGACCTTGTAGGAAGAAGACAAATGTTCCCCATTCTGAGTAATTATTATAGGATTTAAATGAATTACCAGTCTAACTAACTATTATATAATTAAAAAATATTCCCATTCTAATAATTACATCGTTGAAATGAAGGTGGGGGGGGGGGGGAAGAATTCCACAGTGAAGGAAGAAAGACGATTACGCCGCCGAATTTTACAGTGAACCCTAAGTCGATTTGCTTCTGTAAACCCAGTCCTTATTCTTATAATAAACACTAACACTAATCTGCCGTTGTGAACTCCAGCCACTTCTACCATCGTCAACGTCGTTTTACACCGCATGTTTCATGAATGGAATTTAAGTCTACTTAAATAAAGGTTCGTTCTTTTTTTTTTTGACCCCCACCCCTTAATTGTGTTGCCAAGTTTCAGCCCCCACCTCACTTTCAATTGTTCCAATTGCCTAGGGGCCTTTGATATTTAAGTCGTTCCTTGGCCAGCCAACACATTAGCAATGCAAAACATTCAAAGGTATAAATCAAACTCAGATTCACTTATCTGAGTTTGAAAAATGTCACTGCTACATGCTGAGTCTAATGATAGATCGAACGGTCGATTTGCTAAAGCATAAATGTAGCCATTCGATTCCCCGAATGGGATCTTCGTTTGACAGTTACGCTCGAACGATTTGAGAAAAGTGTTTTGCGTCACGTTTTAGTGACCTGGAGGGCACTACA